ACAGCGTCGTGTAATTCAGAGTCGCCAGGAACGAGATCCGCTTCGGCGGAAGTGTCACCGGGAATGTCACTGATAACCGATTGCTGTACGCTCTCGGTACGTCTTAGGAAACCGAGATAACCAGTCCTGGCGTAAACCTCGTTCGTGCTCCCTGTCACGAGGCGCGCGTTAAAATGGTCCGCGTAGTCGCTCTCGTCGCCGTATATCGTGAAATAACCGCTGGCATTGTGCGCGGATTGCACCCAAATCTCGCCCAAATGAGAATCTCCGCACTGTCCTTTCGTTTCTGGATTGGCGATGATCACCTTCACTCCTGGCAATAATTTGCCCGACTCCATCAGGCATAAGGAGTGTGGACTGCCTCTTTCTACCAGCGATACTCGGTCGTTGCGCAGCGCGCGGAGATCAACGTACACAGTGGAAGGTTCTGGACTCGATGCACCCTGTCCCGATAACACGATTATTAATCGGTGTGAAGTAATTGAAATTTTTCACGACTTGTTAAAAAATAACATGTTTAAATTCAATAAAAAAAAAAAAGCGACCGAACCTGCAAGCAAATGGCTGTGTTCACTCTGCATCCGAAAGAGGTGGAGACGGCGCGAGGGCTGAGACCCAGGGCGGAAAAGAGTTTGCTGAAGCTCGTGGTAAGTGCGATTCGCGGTCTTTCCTCGGCGACGACGACGCACGTTCGAACGCAGGCTAAACTGACGCCTCTCGCTTTCAGGGCGTGAACGGAAGAACCAAGACCCTTTGTGCACAGTTCCATCACACCGTAAGAGCAAAACGTGTCTCTCACTCTGGACTGGCTGACTGCCGATAGCCACAACGCTGGATTTGCTTCCACCTGTAGAAAGAACAAACAGTATTGAAAACTTGCACTTGTTGTTAGTACAGTATTAACACTAAGCCCGGTCAAATAACCGGTTTCAAAATTTAATTAAAAATTGTACGTTTATTGTTACTTCTTTTGTTCATCTAATTTTATGTAAATTCTTAGATTATCTGATTAATCAATTTCTCAATTTTTGTTTTTTTTTTTGGCTTCTCTTTTTACCGAGAAAAATTCATCTGACTTGTTCACGGTGACTGGTGGACAAATTTGTATCTTTTTCTAAATTTCTCTGCCTCAGATCTTAGCTCTGGACTCGAGTATCAACTATGCATAGCTGCATACATCTGATAAATATAAAAATGAAAATATATGACTGGTTATCATATTATTATTTAAAAGTTACGTTGTGCATTATTTCTTACAACAATTCCTTTTGAAAGAAACATTTATTTCGTAACCGGTCATTTAATTGGTTACGGTAAGAATAGGTATATGTGAAACGCCGGTACGGTCAGTGCTAAAAAAAGTTCTTAGTATTGTTTCAGTACAAGAAACGAACCTCCGACGGTGGTATAAGTATGGAATGATGACCGCTGTATATACTGCTGAGACACCAAAGGGCAAATCCTAATCCAGAGTAGGGATCCAAACACAGAGCGATGTGCCTAGACGGATACAATTCGCAGGCAAGTTTCATGGCACGACAGAGAGATGTCACCGCTGCGTGAGACATCTTAATTCCTGCGAGCATTCCCGTTGTCGAGACGCTGAAGTCCAAGTAAGCCAGCATCTCCGCCGTGGGTGCTCGATACATAACAGGTAGCTTCTTCTTTGGCATGTCGTCCATATCGAGAATCGTCGGCCAACTCTTAATGTCGACGACGTTATTCGCCTCCTATACGACATTGAACAGTTGTACAGTCAATTTAATCGTTCGTGAGAGACGTTTTAACACTTTAACCGCTGACTGACAGGAGAGCCAACTTTAGCTTAAGAGCAGTTAAAGGGTTAAAAACACCCAAGATATCGATCGATATTAAAGTAAAGTACATTGGAATCATGACGCGTCGATGTACCTTTGTCTTCAACAGTTTCAGGATATTTTGATTCGTGAGCACGAGCACAGACTTACTAACGTCCACGATCATGCGAACGGTTGGCAGGGTGGTTTGAAGATTTTGCGGGTGAGGCGGCCTAATCGTGACTGGCACGGCGCCAACGTACAGGCAACCGTAAAACGCGCATATCAAGTCGGTACCCGGAGGGAATATCAACGCAACGTGGTCCCCGGTATTGATCCTTCCACGATCTAGCAACAGATTCCCGATCCGTTCGGCTTTCTTGTGCAACTGAGAACACGACAACGACGTCGCCACCGCTCCCTTCGCGTTCAACGACGTGAATATCACGTGGTCGGAGGTACTGACAGCACGCCATCGAAGTATCTCCGAGATGAACTGATACTGGAAATCACAGCAGAAAATGTAAGTCAGAGAACAGAAGGGAATAAACAGAACGGATAATAATAACTACTACAGTAGAATCCCCCTACTTAAGCGTCCACAGTTGGAACCAAAATATATCAGTATCAGGTGTCACTCGTTTTGTAATGTGCACGCGTCGATAAGGTAGAGCGAGACAGTTCAAATTGCAAGAATTGGAATTGAGGATAACGACGAACGCTTAACCTCTTGCGCTGGCAACTAAGTTCACGGACCATAAAACGAGTGACCAAACTGTGTACATAATCACAGACGAAGTATATGAATAGACATTGTGTACAATGCATTTTTTCGCCCGTGGTAATAAGGTCTTCAGGACCTTACCATTTTCGTGTCACATCCTGTTGTACCGATTTTACGACCGCAGCACTACTAGCAGTGAAAATTAAAATTTAAAAAATATGAACAGTGTTGCCAGATCCGTTTCGAGAATTATTTATTGAATTGAATGGTACTACATCAATGAAGGAATTTAAAACAGCGACTAATGGAAATTGGAATGAAATTGTAAAATATAAGTTTTTTCTACTATCTCTTGATTTCTACAAATATAATTTATATCACAATAATTCGTCGTTTTCTTTCTGAACTCGTCGGTATGATATCACTGGATAGAAATTATTACTAAGAAGTAGTAAATTTATTATTTGTTTCGCCTGAATTATATTTAAATATACTTGACAACTGAGAAACTTTTGGGACAAAAGATTCTCGATGTGCGTGGCGCGAGAGGTTAAATGGGGAAAAGTGCAGACACGCTCGAGTGAGGACTACTGTGTAATTATTACGGAAAGACAAACCTTTTTAGCATTGTCACTGTCCTCGTCTAGAACACCCATGTCTCGTCCTTGAGCCGAAGCTAGTCTATTACCCTGAACAATGTTGCCCACCATGACACTGGCCGGACCAACGTCTGCAACAGAATCCCCCGCTACACGCCCCCGCACCATTCCGTTAGTAAACCAACACAAACACTCAACCCAATAAATGAGTAGCTCACACACTCTCCCCTGACTGAGGCCGGAAAATCAAAGCTAGGTACGTGAACGTGGTTCGTTATTTGCCGAAAGGTGATCTGAACGCGCGCGTCCTTTATACAGACGTGCTCTGAGCATTCCGTGGACTGTACATACTCAATAAACAAAATAATCCGACGTTCCTCCAAGGACGTACGGTCGAGTAGCGATGTGAAATTTAATTGAAAGCGTTAATCGAAGAAAAACACGTATACCACGTGTACGTGATACGCAACGATCGAAAGTGTTAGAAGGCAGTTTTCCTTTCCGGGCGCGCGCGCGTAATTCAAATACGATGTATTTGCATATGTACAAGAAGAATCTCACATCGCTAGGAAACAATTCGTCTATAGGCTTGGGCTACTACAGGGTGTTCGGAACTCAGCCAAAAGAAAGAAGGATAAAAATAATAGAACAACATGCCAAGCATGAAATATTTTAGTGTTGGGAGGGTTAACAAGATACATGATATGTAGCAAGAGACAGTTATATACTTTTTTCGTTTACTTTCTGTGCCAAGTTACTGAAAGCCTACTGATAACTTTGTAAGAAAGCGCAAGTGTTAACGTTCCTTTATATATATATATATATAAGTTAATAAGAATAATTCCTTTGACAGAGCGAGATCCGAGATCGAGAATTAATTATAAAAAGAATATGCTCATTCATTCTCTCATTGATCATTCTCGTGTACGTTTAAGCAAAACGATCCAACAAATTGGCAGTCCAACTTCAAGTCAACATCGTTCGAAACATCGTACGACGACACAGTGTCGTCGTCTCACGCCAGTTTCTTGGGTCTTTGCTTAAATTACAATAGACAAAGAAGAAAAAAAGG